AATTTGCGTATCTTAAATCGACTCCCCCCTGTAGTGTAGATGTACCCTTAGAGGTGCAGCGTAGAATCTGACCACTGGAGCTCACCTACTTGGCTGTAGGGATAAAAGATGAACATGTAGCAGACTAATGTGCCCCATTCTAGCCATCTGGCTGATTTCTAATCACAGTTCATAAACTCCTGTTGCAGTGGTTTGTATGTGAGTGATTCTGGTCCAGAAACAGTCATGTAGAGAGACGTTGTTACTGTGTGTTATTTCCAGCCATGTGATATGGCTGTTAAATCTTATTGTTCCTCTTCTTGTTTAAAGTATCACAGCAACAGCTGCCAGCATCGGTGCTGCAGGGATCCCACAAGCTGGCCTTGTGACTATGGTCATTGTTCTGACATCAGTTGGGCTGCCTACAGATGACATCACTTTAATTATTGCAGTTGACTGGGCATTGTAAGTAACTTAGTGTCTGAACCTTCCTTCCATCTGCAAATCAAGTTGTTTTTCTGTACTCTGCATGTCAATCCATAGACGCTTAGGGCGTCAGAGCTGTCACTTCTGCACATCATAATCACTGGGAACTTCACAGAGACAGCAGGGATAGAACTCGAGAAAGCACCTAAACTAACGGAGACTCTTCATTAGCAGTAGAGAGTCTACGGCCAGAGCTAGCTGAATTAATAACAAATACAGTAATTTATTTTGAATTTCAGCTCTTTCTTTGTGAATTGTCCATGAGCAGATTTCAACTTTCATATCCTTCATTATTCAAAACTGTTCAAGTTTTTGGTATCTAAATTACGAGCAGTTCAGTTCTCAACTCTGATAATGCACAGGCCAGGTCTACAGAGATAACTGACAAAATACTGAACTATGTAGGTTAACTCGACTTTTGGCATTCATGCTCAGACATGATAACATTTTGCAGTGTAGATGAGGCCATAGTTGAACAGTTCTGATTATATAAATATAATACCAGTAGATATAATACCCTCTCTCTATTTACAATAGCTGCTTTTCTTTTATTCTAAATAAGTCCTACAATTTAACATTTCTTCATGATTCCTCTTAATACAGTAAAGATCCATTGCACAAGATGCTACAAAAGTGCAATTACAAATTCATTGTATTTTATTTAAACTTACAACACTGAAAGTACTTTATGAAATATTAGGAAAAAAAAGTTGGGCTTGTGCCCTTTTTTGTTTCTGTATGACGCTTAGAGAGCCTGAAGGTTTATATTTTTTTACATTTATTTTTTACTTTCAAAAATATCAGAAATGTCAAGTCTGGCCTTTCTTGGTTTTGCTGGAGAACTTCTGGGAGGTTTCAGGAATGTTTACTGTGACCTCTAACCTTTAAAGGGCAAGGGTGTTGAATCGATAACAAAGCCATTCTTTAATAGTTAATAAAGCTCAACAAAAACAAGGTGTTTAAACACTGACTAAAAAGCTCTTCCCCTCTCAATTACTCAGTTCTGCCTCAATACTTGTACAGTCACCATTTCACTATTTATCCAGTCATCAGAGCCATTCAGCTTAGACAAGACTTGAATTTCTAGTGTAAAACCAGCAGAAATTTAAAACAAACAACAACAAAAAAACACTTCAGGCTCTTTCTACACTATACAAAAATCAAAGACGGGTGCATGCCCAATTTTTTTTCCTTTGCAGATCACCTTGAGTGAGAAGGGCATACTTACATTTCTTGGACTAGTGCTTGGCAGTTTCATAAACCTATAGGTGCAAAGTGAACTGATCTGTTTATATTGTGGTTAGCTTTACAAATATTTTCATTATTACATTTGGGGGTAGAAAAACATAAAGGTTGCTTAAGTGATCTGATAGGACTGCAATCTCCATTACAATGCATTAGTTGTACTGCTTGTACAATAACTCATTTAGGTAAACTTAGTGGGTACGTGAATGTAATAATTTTATCCAGTGTCCAAGAAAACCCCCACACACACTTCTTACCTACTTTGTTAAAATTCTGAGTACAAGTTTTGTATCTGATTACATATAACTGTACCCTCTTATCAGACCCCAAAATAACTTCTTCCTACTCAAAGTGCCTCTAGGCAGAATCCAAAGCTAACGATCCAACATGTCTTTCCAAGAGTCAAAACTTGATTAACAAGCTAAGAAAAAACTTGTAAGACTGTAACAGCACCTCCTGCAAAAACCTGCTGGAACTATATTTTTGCATTTTACTTTTACTTGTGAAGCTCTTCATCAAAGCAGAGTCAAATGCAGTAAGTTAAGGCTAAGAGGGATAGACACATCTAGGTCCAGATTTTCAAGTGCAGTGGACATGCAATTTTCATGTGTAGTTACTGTAATTGTAGATGTAATTTGGATAACTGCATGCAGGTGCATCTAATTAGGCATGCAAATACACTTGCAAATTAGGCATGCAAATTAAGCATGCATAAAGTGTATGAAAAGTCTGGCCCATAGAGTTTAAATCCACTGTGTTCTATATGCTTTGAAATCTGAGTAGTATGATAGTGGACCTTCATTCACTTTTATAAGCCAAACATCTGAATGATTCTGAATCTCAGTTTTATTATACAAATTCATAAATTAAGTTACCAATATGATAAAATTTTCAATGTATTTCACACACAAAAGGATATGGTTAGTTTGAAATACATGTAGCCATATTGGTCCCAGGATTTAACAAGACAAGGTGGGAGAAGTATTACCACACCTACCTTGTCTCTCTAACTTGAAATACACCTCTACCCCAATATAACGCTGTCCTCAGGAGTCAAAAAATCTTACCGCGTTATAGGTGAAACCGTGTTATATCGAACTTGCTTTGATCCACCGGAGTGCGCAGCTCCCCACCCCCCAGAGCACCCGCGTTATATCCGAATTCATGTTATATCGGGTCGCGTTATATCAGGGTAGAGGTGTATTGTCACTTGGAAATAATGTATTAAAAGTAGTTTCAGATACTACCTTGTCAGTGAGTCCCATCAATATTTGTGGTTTTACAATCCATTTTTAAAAAATATTTTTTTCTTAGCATTGATGTGTGAGAGACCTGTACAAACAGGGAGAAACAGATTAACTGACTAAACAGGGAGAACACTGAAATTGATCCCAGGATATGAGAATCGTGAAATCTATTATACACAAGATGCTGTCAAATGCACAGTCAATAAACTGAAAATATTCTCTCTCATTTCTTTCTGTCCTAGTCTTAAGTGTTACTTGTAACAATAGCAGGTAAGGTGTATTCAGACAGGAGTGTGATATGAGTTGACTGTTTCCCGTTAGTTTGATATTGCTAGGAAAGCATTGTTATTTGGGTATGTTGTTCTGGAAGACAGTAAGAGGCAAATTGCAGACTGTACTACACACAGTGATCTCCTTATCCAGCATTCTGGGTGCTGTGATTCTTCATTTATCAGGGACCTGCAAGATACTGATTGCCCTCAACTCACTTGAGTTGAGGAACTTGGCATTTTGCAGGATCAGTCCCCAAATCAGACAATATTCTGAATTTTTAATATCTAAATACTCAAATACAATACTATTAATAGAGGCAAATAGCTCACAGATTGTGGAGAAAACAGCAATGCTTATACTTGAGTTGATTTTTTCTAAATATTTAAAGTGTTTAATCGGTATGTACCTGTTGCAGGTCTGACTATTTCTAAGATGGAGCACCTGTCACCTAACACCACTGTTTTGTTTGTCAGAGACAGATTTAGAACAATGATCAATGTCTTGGGAGATGCCCTCGCTGCTGGAATCATGGCTCATGTCTGCAGAAAGGAGTTCACCAAGGATGGTGATGAGGTAAGAACAAGACAAAATGAGTCAGTCTGGAGCAATGAACTCCTTGTCAGTATAAAAATATTTTAAACATCAACTTCTCACATTCATTTATTCTGGATTAAATTTACATTAATGGAAAGAACAAAATTAGGCTATGGATCAAAATGCAAAAGTAGGTAATATTTGTAGCATTCGTGTAAAGGATTTACCTTTTTTTAGGAAAGTACAGAAGATACATTATGGAGTTTAAACAATTGATTGTTGCCCTTTAATGAGGGATGATATTTTAAACTCTGGAGGTGGGGAAAGGAAGTAACTCCAAATATAGGATAGCAGTTGGATTTCATCACTGTGCACCATCACCTAACTAAGCAGGTAGTGTCAGAGTCATGGCTTTTTAAAGTCATTCCCAAGAGTATGGCCCTACAGTGCAAGGTATTTGTTTGAATACTGTACCACTAGAGAGCCCAGAACACTATGTTGTGGGCTCTATAGCGCATTGCACAAAATGCCATGTGCCACATGTAGGACCCTCAGGAATACGTATATAAGAATTAAATGGGGCCAGGGGTGTAAATAGAGCTCTACAAAAGTCAGAAGTTTTTTCCATGAAATTTTATCCATGAAATTTCTCTTTCCATTTTGGGTGAGTTCACAACTCCCAATGTTTTGCTTTCTTGTGAAGTTTTGGGACAATGCGCTTTTTTTTTTTTTTTTAATATCAGATCATGCAAAAAGCCACTCTGGCACAAAAAATCAGATTGTGAAATTATGACCAGAAGCAAGATGGCAACCATCTTTGTGCGTGTGCAGAAAAGGGCAAATGAAGAGTATGTTCATGATCACAGTGAATATGGTAGAACAGCTCACAACACCCACTGCTAAAATAATCTTCCTCCCTCCACCACTGCGAACATGTTACTCCCCTCTAAAATCCCTCCACTGGCATCTTCACCCCTCCTACATCACATACAAGCCCCTGCTTCCATCTCTGCTTTTCTTTCCTCTTACTTCTTCTCACAGTCCCTGTGCTCTACTCCCTTTGTTTCCTTCTCCCACTGTTCTCTTGGTGTTTTCTTCCATGCCTCTCCTTACACCTGGAATGCCCACTCCTGGTTCAAAAGGTGACCCCTCTTCATTCAAATCCCTTTCTAAATCAGATTTCTTCCACCAGCCCTATTGCTACTAGTCCACCTAAGTGTTAGTTCCCAATCACTTCTGTTAATTGGAGTGCCCCCAATAAACTTCCTCTGCTCTGCCAGGACAGCTTGTAACTGAGTGGTTCTCTCTCGCTCTTCATGGGGCAGGACTGTGTGTTTTTCTAGGTCTTGCATAGCATCCAGCTCATGCAGAGCTTAACTAAATAATAGTAATAAGAATAGTAAATTATTATTGATCATTTCTCCCATTTTACTGCCTAATCTTTCTGGAGAATCCCATTGTCACTGCTTGATACAATGTGCTCAGAACATTCAGACTTTCATATTTTGTTAGCTAGGGTCTTATACTGAGAGATGCCGAGCACCCTCAACTCCCACTGATCACAGGATGGAGCCCTTAAAACTTGGCTAAACTAGGAGCCTTTTTTAAGCATACAGACTAACAGAAACATATTTAATCCATTATAAGGCCAGAAACAAACATTATGATCATCTAGTCTCACCTTCTGACTAATACTGGACTCCTGACATTTTATTACTGTATTTAGTACTATTATTTTCCTTTGGAGGAAGGTTCTTAAAACTCTGTCCTGGAGCATCGTATTCCATTCAAATATATAACCCAATCCCCCTGAAGGATTATAAACTTGTTTGCAGGGAGATTTATTTTCTGCTTGGCACTCAATAACCATCTTAAAACATACCATTAGTCGTCTTTATGTTTTGGCTGCACATTTAGTGTAGTTAGTCATATATACCCAAAGGGCAGGTTGCCTCAGCTGCAAGCCCACCTCCTCCCTCTGCCAATATTTGCGTATTGTTTTCCCCATCAGACCATCTTGGTTTCTATTTTAAGGATATTTCAACACATTACTTGTGAAATCAATCAATAAAATCCTCTTTTCCTTTGAAACAGCACAGAGGGAAAAACTTATGTTAGCTCAGAGGTCTAGTAGGTTGGTAACAGGGAGGCAAGGAGGTACCAAAGCATAGACCGACCAATGGTCTATTCAATCTGGTGTCTTGGCTCAGCAGTAGCCTCTACATTATACTTCAGAGAAAGACAAAACCCCTCATAGCATCAGTGACAATAAGGAGGTGCCCCATGATAATGCAGTATTGTACATGACTCCATCTGGCCCAGACACATTAGGGTTTGTAACCCTTGTAACGTGGTAGTCTAACTGTTGGCGTTTTCCCTACTCATCTCTTTTGAGGATCTCACTAAATTATTTGCATTGATCAAATCCTATGACAATGAACACTGATTGCCGGTTGATTATATGTTTCATAAGTAGTTTTTCCTTTTTTCTTCTTTGCATTTGTTTACATTTAAGTTTCTTAGCTGTCTCTTGTTCATGCAGGAAGGAATAGGGAGAGAGAGATTTTTAAAGATATTTAGACACCTAAAGATGCTGGTAGAGCTTCTGAAAATCCCATTAGACATCTATCTGCATCTTTAGGTGCCTAAATATCTTTAAAAATCGGGCCCAGGGTGAATATAAATAGACATTCACTTAGCCATTCATCCCTTTTCTAAGCAAAGAGACATATACTGCCTTGAAGAATGGTTGAACTTCCAGTGATAACAGCAGTTCTGCTGATGGACCAAGGGCCAGATTTACTAAAGTATTTAGGTGCCTAAAGATGCAGATAGGCAACTAGGGGAGGGTTGGGGAAAAGTGCCTATGCAGGTTAGGCACCTAACTCCCATTGACTTTCACTGGGAATTAGGTGTCCAACCTGCATAGGCATTTTTTGCCAATTGCACTAGGTGCCTATCTTCATCATTAGGATGGGATTCATTGCCTGTGTTTAGCAGTGATAATATGCAGCATCTTGCTGTTTCCCACATAGGTGCCATTGATCTGTGAAACTAAACCCATCAGCATTCATCAAATCATGGCTTACCAGAGAAATGGTTGTGTGAAGAACATGAGTGAGTCTCATGGACCAGAAACAGTGAAAGCGTTTCAGCACCATATACCTATACAAGTGGAGCAAGAACTAAACCCAGCGGAGAACCACACAAAGAAATCCAACAGTAAAGACCACTGCGCTATTGAAATCAATGAACTGGAAACAAATGTGTAATTGCTACGTTTGATGGTATCTGATACCCAGTGACCTGGTACCCAATCACTACCTCACAGCTGGAGAGAGGACTCTGTCTTATATGGAAAAAAAAATGTGGAGTTATGGTCAGCATGCTTGTACTGGAGCTAGGAGACTAGCTGTGATGAGAAAAGATACAAGGCTTGAAAGAGATAGGGGGCTTCTTAGGGGGATGATTTTTAATACTGGGAAATTAACCAATGGACAACTTTGGTTCTCCCTGGGCAAACTGATTTGATTCCAGTATAGTATCTGACATTCCTTTTTTGCTTTTTTTTATTTAACCCCTTTTTAATTATTTCTGACAAAAGCCTTTTTTTGCATCTCACTAATTATGAACATGGTATTTATGTAGATGTATTGCTGCCAGAAACGAATTTACAAAAGGTACTGAGAGTGTACTAATTTTGTCTTCTCTTCTACTCCTTAAACAAAGAGTTTACGCTTAGTTTTAGAATAGCACTAAGAAAATTGCCTGATCTCAAGAGGCAAATCTTTTGTAACTAATGCCACAAACTGAAAGCAAAGCAAAATATTTATCTTTGCAAGAAAACACATTTAAAAAGCTATTCTGTTATATACACTTCAAAGATAGGCATCAAACTGCAATATATGGTTCAAAGATGTCTAGATTCTTGCAAAGGACGGTTTGCCTTCTAAGTGCCAGATCCACACAGAATTTTTTAAAAATCTATCTCCGCAGTAGAATCAGTACAATATACCTGCAATGGCAGAACCATGCAAGCCCTAACACATATGCACAGGTGCTAAAGAGTGTTAACTGTTCTCTTCTTTCATTTATAGACTGTTCCACTGTATATGTATAAGCTCAATTCTCACAGCTCTTGACGAATATGCTTCATTCCAAGGGCAGACTAAACACAGACTGGAATCCAATGCAGATGAGTAATATTTGGGTTTTGCAGGGAGTTTGCTGTGGAAACTGGCTTTTTATTTTTCATTATACCGTGGGTTGGACTATACTGAATGTTGTCTCTTTTTTTAGCCATTACTGAATCTTTGGTTACAATAAATTCTGCTGGGTGTGTTACCAATGTTTGCAATGAAGAACATTTTTAAATAAACCCGACATTGTGAAAATAGGTTATCTGTGCACTTCTAGAATGAATGTATTCTTACTTCTCTGTTCAAAGCTGGGATGGGGGGGGGGCGGCATGACATGCTCAGAACATTCAAACTTTCATGTTTTGTTAGGTAGGTCTTGGGGGAAAAGGATTTCTGGAAGGATACAGAACCAGGTAGGTACAAAGATCACAAACTATTTCCTGCCAAATACCTGTGTATTTTGTTATTGTTATGCCTGCCACATCAGTTCCTGAAAATCTTTAGCTGGTGCTATAAAATATTGCTGAATGTTGAGATGTCTTCTATGGGAAAAATTCTGAATTTAAACAGTCTATTCAGAGAGGGCAGTTTTTCCAGCACTTGCCAAAAGCAGGGGCATGCACAAGAGGCAGGAGGAAGCAAGGGCATGCCCCTCCCCCCAGTAATCGGCAGGGGCACAGAACTCCACTTCACAAATAATTAAAGAGTAGTTTCAAATATGCAAAGCAAACAATTACTGAACAAGCCCTAGAATAGAACTGATTCATCCAAACTTATCAGAGAATGCCTATGTATTATGAATACATTTGCAGAAATCAGGGTCAATTGAGGAATGGTTCACTAAACCAAAAATGACGCTAAATTGTAACAACCTTCAAGTCTGATCCTCCACTGCCTTGCTCCTTGTGTAGTCATTTATATCTGTGCAAGTGGCTGCAAAATCCTATCATTCTGAACTGGTAGCTTTTTACACCTACTTGGTACAGGTGTAAGTGACTACCAAAGGGGCAAGGCAGACCCGTTTGTAATGAATAGTTCAGTCATATGGTACCTACTTCTTAGACAAGTCTGCCCACACACCTTGATTCCAAGGTGCCCTGGAGTGCCAGCTAAAAATTGCCATCAGGGTGCCAACCAGCAAAGCCACATGCTACTTTTTAGCCTTGTCTACACAGTGTGTTAGTGCGTGAGACACGCTGGCCTGCACTGGAATTTATACTCCAGCTCGTGTGTACTAATTGGCCCATGTGGACGCTGCCATTTCAAATTTCAAATTAAGTGCACGAGGGAATTTTTAGTGCACATCAGCAGGGTCCATGCTGGCTGGTTAGTGCATGATATGCTGATGCACAGTAGACTTTATACCCCAGCTAGTGTCCACTGACACACCATGTAGACAAGTCCTTAGTCAAATGGTAAGATCTATGAAGGACTGCAAACCCCCACTGCCTGCCCTGTGCCTTCTTTCCTAATCTATCTTCTAGGTATATATAGGACACTATGCATCATAATATCTAGGTGTAGTTTCTTACCCTGTGACGTCAGGATAGCTCTTGGACTATACACATGGTATATCACTCCACACCACTATATGGCTCCCATCATTAAGGCAGCTAGGTGTCTGATGCAAGTTTCCAAAAAAGATGTCCTAATTAGGATCCTACCGTTGCGAATTCAGCTCCCCAATTTTAAAAATATTGTTTTAAACCCTCCTTTGTTAAAATTACCAACACAAAAGTGGAAACAAGACTCAAGACTAGATGTCCTCTTGGTGGTCATAGGGCTTTGAAAGATGGGGCATCAATATCAGGCACACAAAGGAGATCAAACATTACTGCACTGCTGCTGGTTGATTTTATATGACCTTCATCTAACTTTTCTCTGGGCAGGAGATCCATCTTTTTCTTTCCTGGAACAGTCACATCAAATGTTAAGATCTTACCCTGAATGCCTCCATGAGTTCAGAGTGTAGTGAGGCCTCAAGAGACCCAAATCAATCCTAGCAGCATTAGAAAATTGTATAATTTCCACAAAATACACTTCTCAAAAGGAAAAGCTTCCTCACTCAGAGGAAGAAGCCAGTGGTCCTCAGTGAGACTTGCTTACCTAATGAATATCTTTAACCTACATAATGGTTTACCCTCTCTCGCCATCTTTCAGTAGGTGGGGCATGGGAAAGTCTTAGGTATGAAATGGCAAAATGGAACATTTTTATAGGAAGGAAGGAAATGTACTTTAAAATGAATGCTCTGTTAGTCATATTGTGCAACTATACCCCATTGATAAATAGCTTAGACTTTGCTTTGAGAATATTAAATGTTTAGTTCATATTATGTCAATGGTGCCATTAAAAACCTCAGCCATCACTGCGGCACATGCCTTCTGTATGTGTGCTGTGACTACTGCCTATTACAGCGATCATAATTCACTGTTACCTTGTCTGTTTGTTGTATTCACTCGTAGTCTCTAATTTTATACTTTGATTGTACGTAAGTTCTTTGGGACCAGGATTATCTTTTCTTTATGTTTGTCCAGTGCATCACTCAAATGGGACCTCTAGAAGTATGTCTGCCCTACATAGTAAACCCAGATCTGCATGACCCATGCCTGCAGACTCATTCTTTCCAAGCTTACGCTTGAGCGTCCATACTGCATTGCTATGCAAGCCTCATAGCTGTGCTGCCACCTCCATACTGCATTACGCAGACACGAGTTAGACACTGTGGCTTCTGGGGACATCTCCCAGGGTTCTTAGTGCCCATGCTAGCTGTGGCTGCACTCGGGCTTGGTTCATGGTGTACTATGGGAGAACTTGTCTGGTCATCCTGTGGCACAGCCTGGAAATGCTGTTAGCCCATTGGCATATCCGGCTTAGCTATTTCCCTGCAACCGGAACTAGCAACATGGATCCAGTGCCGGTGGAAGAACGTCTCCTGCTTCTGCTTTCACTCCTATTTCAGGAATCAGGAAGTGCATTTGTGAGATGCTGGTGGACTTTTTGGCAGCATGAAAGGTCCCTCTTGGAGGAGGGTACAGACATGGCATCTGCAAACCAGCTGATGCTGCTCATGCCTGTTGCCATAGCCATAGATTCCCCATGTAGAGCCTGGTGCTGTTGGAGCAGGACCACATGCACAGACTGGTGGGATCACATTCTCATTCAGACCTGAGATGACCAGCAGTGACTCCAGTACTTTTGCATAAAGAAGCAGACATTCCTGGAGCTGTCCAAACAGTTTGCCCTGACCCTCCAGCAACAGGACACAGGCATGAGGGGAGGCCATGCTGGTCCAGAAGCAGGTCGCTGTAGCCATCTGGAAGCTGGCTACCCCAGATTGCTACAGTTCTCTGGCTAATAAGTTTGGTGTTGGCAAGTCGATTGTAGTGGGTCTATCAATGAGACTCATGTGCCCATAGTTTGCCCTCCCAAGGAGCACGTAAGTACATAAACTGGAAAGGGTACTACTTCATCAGCATGCAGGTCCTGATCAACCATTGGGGCAGATTCATGGTCACCAATATGGGATGTGCTAGCAAGGTGCATGATGCCAAGGTTTTCTGGAGATTGGGCCTTTACCTTCATGGACAGGCTGGGACATTTTTCCTTCCAAATGACATTGTTATAAATGGAGTCTCTGCCCCTACTGTTATTCTAGAGGATCCCATGTATCCCCTCCTTCCATGGCTTATGAAACCGCACCCTGATCTCAGACGCCCTGGCAAAAGAAGGTTTGACTACATGCTCAGTAGCTGTTGGATGGTGGTGGAATGTGCATTTGGTAGAGTGATATCTAGCTAGCCGTGCCTTCAGGACCATTTGGATGCCAGTGTTGTCAGTGCTATCCATACTATCGTGGCCAGCTGTGCACTGCATAACATCTGCAAGGCCAAAGGTGATCCATTTTCCCAGGAGTGGACTCATACTGCTGCATTGCTGGGATGGAACACACAACCAGAAAGAGCATCTATCATTGCTGGGGCAGGATCCACTTGCACAAGGGAAATCAGGGATGGTCTGTGCTCCCACATATTGGGTTTGCAGGGTGACGTGGAGGAGGGGGAGTGACATAATGTAGTTATCCCATGCTTCAGCTTCAGGGCCTGGGTCAGCTTAAGAAGTTGATAAAAACTGTTCACGTATTTCCACATACAGTAAAGGACTTTTGCATAGGAAGGTTTTTTTATTTATTTTGTTAGGAGTTTTATGAAAACTGTTAACAAACTGCAGCTCACAGCTTATGGATTGCAATGATGAAGTTTCTTTCTCCACTGAGGACATTGTTATGCAGCATTCTGGGCTCTGGGCTTGACACATTTCCCAGGACCCAACTGAATTCCTTGTAGAAGAGGAACATAGAAAGGGAGTTCCCTGAGGTGCAGTTATCATCCTGGGTTTGGTAATAGGCAGTTTGAAGGCACTTGATCACTCTTGCCATTGATTGTTGGCAGTCCGGTAGATCCTCTAGCATCTCTGAGATACTTTTGTGCACTCTTTCCAAAGTCATGGTGTCATGTTATTGACTTGAACTGGGACCGTATAGAACATGGTTGCAACCAAAGTCCTGCAGTGGCACCAAACATTGTATAAAGGGGGGTCAAATAAGGTGTCCAAGACAAGGTTATAGTTTGCTGGTTATGATTATGCTATCTGTATATGTGTATCATTTTTGTAGTTG